CTGATGAAGGTGCGTCTACAAATTGGCCGCACCTGCGGAGTAACTTTCGTGGTGGGGTACGCCCCAGCGGAAACTGTCCGCACCACCGCGGACGGCGATGTTAACGCCAAGGATTCCTTCTGGACTGCTCTCGACGCAGCGATCCGGGAGGTTCACCGCCGTGACAATCTCGTGGTGCTAGATGGACGCCAACGCACGCACTGGTAGGAGGCGAGACGGGTGCTGCGATGCCAAGATTATGGGCGCGTACGGACGCGACATTATCAACAACAATTCGGGACGACTCCTTGGACTGGCGTCAGACAACCAACTCTCCCTGACCAACACCTACTTCCGGACACCGAAAGGTGGAGTGCAGCACACATTCCAGAGCTCCAACAAGGGAAAGGAGAAGTACCGCCTCGACTTCATCCTCATGCGTCAGGCGGACCGGCGTTTCGTGCGCAATGTCTCCGTCAAACGTGTCGACTTCAAAGACTCTGACCACAACCTCGTGCTTACGACTGTCCGCCTCCCCCCCCGTGTCGCACCCAACCGACGAGTGCGGGGGAACAGCCGAAGCAGCCGGATCCGTGTCGACCTCGAGCGGTTGAAAAAGGACAAACACCTACAGGTCGCCTTCCAAAACAGGGCCTCCAGCCGCCCTCCGCCCACGGCGCTCAGGCGGCCAACGGGAGAGACCGCCGCCGAGCTGACGGCTATGGTGATGTCGGCCGCCGCTGAGACCGCGCCGCTGGCGAGGTTTGCACGAAGGCAGAGAGGCTGGTACACGAGCGAAGCGCAGCACGAGATCTTAAGGTCGTCGCTACACGACTGAGCCACTACTGCGAGCGAGAGGGCGTCCTCCCAGAGGAGANACGTACCACAGCAGTGGAAGGATGCCACCATCAAAGTGCTGTTCAAGAAGGGGGACACGATGGAGTGCGGCAACTACCGGGGCATCTCGCTCGTCGCACACGCCGGCAAGGTGCTGCTTAAGGTCGTCGCTACACGACTGAGCCACTACTGCGAGCGAGAGGGCATCCTCCCGGAGGAACAGAGCGGTTTCCGCCCACACCGGTCGACGCTCGACATGCTGTTCGCCATCCAGCGGCTCCATGAGCTCGCGAGGAAGAAGAGTACTGCGGTGTTCGCGTGCTTCGTCGACCTCACCAAGGCATTCCATTCGGTGGACCGAGACCTACTGCGGGACGTGCCACGACGCTTCGGCGTGCCCCCGAAGATGCTGGCGGTCATTCGCCACTTCCACGAGGGCATGAGGGCGCGCGTCCGAACGGACGACGGGCAGTACTCGGAATGGTTCGACGTGAGCCAAGGCCTCCGACAGGGATGAAACCTGTCCCCGGTGCTGCTCAACTTGTTCTTTGCCGCGATGCTCATGGTCGCCGTGGCCGAGTTCGACAAGGACCCCAAGGTGACGGCGGACATGGTCAAGATCGGGACACAAGTGGAGTACACGGGCAAGAAGGGCAGGTCGGCGGG